TGCAGTATGCTTATTATTTATTATTTTTTTCCTAGAGCAGGATCTTCAAACACGAATGAAGTTATCACTTGCAAGACATGTTGTTCCAACTTTATCACTTATGCATATGATATCATGAAACCTTGCAATCAAGTATTCTTTCAACCAGGATGAACTTCCAGGAAGAAAAGACGATCATGGTGAAAATCTTGGTTCTAGTGTCTTGTGTCTCAACAGGTAACAGCAACCTACCTGATTTCTCCAGTGAAAGCCCCACCTTTTCCAGTCCAAGAGTTTTGAGAAGCTATCTCAATCCGTGGCGTTAATGAGTTCTTAACCTGGTCAATGTATACAAATGGAGGTGCCACAACAACATCTGCACAGGCCACAAAAAGAATATCAAGCAAAGTGAACAGCGCATGATTAAGGCGAACATATGTTAGTTTCAGCTTAGCAGAGCATGCGCGTGCCCACGCACGTGTGACAATGCCCTTGATTATCAGCTTCTTACCCGTCCACTGGCTTTAAGTTATCGGCAGGCAGTAAGCCACCAACTACAGCCATAATAGAGGAACAAAAGATGCTTCTCAATAACTCAATCTTATGCATTTAACAATGTAGTGGTGATAGTCAATTTTACAAAGGATGGACACTTAAGCCTCATTTATCAACTCCATGGGAGTGATAGTCAAATTTCTCTGTATAGGTAGAAATAATTACTGCGGCAATTGTCTTGAACTCCAATTTTCAAATTTAAGAATTTAAGCAGACTTAGATAACGTTATTTTCTTAAAGTTCCCTTAATTGTGGGAAGTACTGGAGACATTTAAGCCATGGGAAGCAACATGACTCCAGAATTCAGTGTTAATGAATCACATCTTCATGGCAAAGCTAGAACCGTAGCGTTGAAGACAAGCCTTAATAGATATACAACTGTAATGTTCTGAGTAAATTTGTCGGAGAGGAAGAAACTAGCTCAACACTGTTAAAAGAGAATATGTTGGACTGGTATTCTGTTATTCCCTTTCAACATCGTATAGTATTATCCTAAGTTCCTAATTATTACCACATCACTCCACCAAAAACTCGACGAAAGTTTGAATCGTTTTCAAAATGAAAAGAGCAAACTTAGCAATTTGTGGAGGAAACAGAATATGATGATAAAAATCAGGTCAAAGGAAACAGGGACTCGCCGACATCAGGCTCCAATTTTGCGCTGTTCAAGTCAGAAACAAGCTTGCTGATGGAGTCTTTAGTTCCATTCTACATAAAAGAAATGTCAAAAGATGCAACAGTTAGTTATGCTAAAATTAAATGGTACACAGAGAAAACGGATTTGGAACCCGATATGGTTAGCATAAAAAGGCAGCTCTCATGAAGTTGACGAAAGAAGAATTTTGAGTTTCAAGAGACTGCGGTACCCACAAAGTGCCAATGCAGGCAATTCCAATTGGGGCCACTTTCATTATCTTTCTACATATACATCTTCATCCACCACGAGTTAAATTAGACTAAACAGCTAGAGATAACAGGTCTATACAATGCCATTCAGTTTAGTATTTCAAAAGCCATCAACCCTCAGTCTACCAGCAATTTTCATATAAGCCCACACGGTAAGAGAGTACTTACATTCTGACCAAAAAAAAAAAAAGAGAGTACTTACACACTTCCAGTTTCCACCAACGAAAAACTGCAATAACAGCAGAAATGATACGTTAGAAACTGACTAATTCGCGAGTGTCGGAACATTAGCCAAACAAAATCAACAAGGATCAGTCGAACGCATGTCCGAAAACAAAACCGTCCATTCGTATTTTAGAAAAACAACTCCACGCCGCTTTACTTGTCCTGCCACAGAAACTGAAGTTTACGCACACAGAACGGAATTTCGTAAATCTCATTGAACAGACATTTCCAGCGAGCATGAATTCCAGACTCGAGCCTCGCGCAACGGATTGCACCAGAATCAAACGCCGCCGCGCATTACAGAGTCACCGGCAATCAAAAGTAAAGAAAAGAGCAAAATGGCGAACTCGAGACGGACGAACAGGGAAAGAAGGCAATGCGCGTAGCAATTGGGATCTACCTTGCCGGTGCCGGCCATGGCGACGACGCCCCTGCACGGCTTCTGGTGGTGGGAAGAATAGGAGGAGGAGAAGGAGATTCGAGAATTGACGTGGTGGGCGAAGGACTGGGCGGCGGCGGCGGGGGAGGGGTCGAGCTTCGAGGAGGAGCGGCGGAGGCCGGAGAATTGGGAGGTGAGGGGAGTGGAGACCACCGCCATGGCGCCGGAGCGAAGGGGCTTGAGGTTTCTGCGTGTGGTGGTTGTGACTCGGCTCTCTCTCTCTGTCTCTCTGGTTGGTGGCTCCTACTTTGGTTGACGGGGGGGGAGAGAAGAGGAGGGAGAGATTTTAACCAGTGGCGTCGAGATTTAGTGGAATCTCAGGTTCCGGATGACAGCCTGATATTATGGTTCACGCGATGCGAGAGAGCGTGGCAGTGGACGTTCTGAGTTACACACCCCAAAATTTTCTCAATATGTAATATCAATTTTGAATTGAAATAAAAAGATATTCTAAAAAATTCGGATAATGGCATAGTTACGAACGCTTTCTCTTTATCATCGCACTATAACGACTTTTCACTTATCGTCACTTCTGCAAATATATTGAGATTTGTCACTCTCTCTCTCGTTGTAGTGGAAAAAAATATAAAAAAATTAATCGGTTCCATTAGATCGGACAGGGATCGGACCAGATCGAGAACCGATCATCCTCCTAGATCAGTGGACTGTCCCGTACACCGGGCAATAGGGCTAAATTCCGCTACTCAAAAGGCCAAAAAAAAATGGGGTTAATTAAAAAAAGCACCAACTTTAGGTCGAGGGACAGTCCCCGAACTTTGTAAACAGGTCGAGGACAGCCGAACTTTTTGTCTCGTAAAAAGCACCAACTTTCATTTAAATCCCAAATTTGACCCTCATTGATTTTCGTATGAAATTACCCTTGTTTGAGAAAAAAGTTATGGTGGTGAGCTTAGCGAATCTCTTCCATGGCGTCGACGAGCGGTGGTCTATAGCTTTACGACAAACGACGAAGTTTGGCGAAAGATTCAATCTGGAGATATTTTTGACTTGTCTGAAGTGAATGAGACGAACGTTTAGTTTTCTTAGTGGTTTAGAGAATAAGACATGAATAATGCTTTAAATCATCGCAAGTTACGTGGATTTATTGCTAAGGTGGAATAGTCAAGTTGGAAAATCAATGGTTTTAAGTCAATAAGGGCCATATTTGGGATTTAAGTGAAAGTTGGTCTTTTTACTAGATAAAAAAGTTCAGAATTGTCCCTCGACCAAAGTTAGTGCTTTTTACGGGACAAAAAAAGTTTGGGCCATAATTGTCTCTCGACCTAAAGTTGATGTTTTTTATGGAACAAAAAGTTGGCTAGAATTGTTCCGACCTAAAATTTGTGCTTTTTTAATTAACCAAAAAAAATGGCCACAAAATCTAAAGCGGGAAGTGACACGACGCGCCACGGACGGCGCTGGGATTTGGACATAATCTTTCGGACAGGTGATGGTGAAGACTCTCGCGGTTGTAGGTGTCGCGGTCGTTCAACGAGAAGACAATTTGGCGTGGTAAAAAGGGCAGCTGCCCCTAAAAAATTTGCCGAAAACTACGCCGTTTCACCGAAGTCTTTTTTGTTGGGAACGGATAATACGAGGCTTCTCTCTTCTTCTGCCACGTCACGTTACCAAACAAAAAATTAGCCGGATGGATATATATGGATCGAGTGCCATGGGCCTCGGAGTAGTTCCGGCGAAGGGGCTCGAGCGACCGTACACGTGTACCCGCGAAACCCGAGCAAAGGCCGATCTCGCGGTCCCTGGGCCTGAGATCGGATGTAGCTTGCTGCTGTCATCGGTCTTGCCGTACCAAATTTTTGCCAGCAAAATTGTTGGCGGACGGAGGATTTATTACCACAAAAGATAAAATTAGGATTAATTAATTAATATGGGATTTGCTAGTAGAACAGCCGTTAGTTAACTCTATAAGAGTAACGATATGTTGTGAGCCGTAAATTCTCGAAGGAGTGGACCTCACAATAATTTTTAATTATTTATTATTTATTTTTTTATGATACAAAATGGATAGTTATTTTCAGAGTGGATTAAAAATTGTGGCTTAATCATTTCTCAATTAATAAATTAAGGAATGAAATATGGAGTTTTGTACCGGAAAATCAAAGGATTGGGACCATCCGTCCGAGGGTAAGCTGTCCACCTAACAAGACAAGGGTTATCACTTGGGCAATTTGTTGCTTTGAATCTAGGACGTAGCTGCGGGTGCAATGAGGAGGGGAAGGAATGATCTTTGTGTTGATATTAGTGCGGTAGAGTTGGTTGAGAGAAGCAACACATCTAACTTGATCGTGCTTGGCTTATGACTTCTAGTTGTATTTTTTTCACTCTGTCTCTCTACCGCGTGCATTTTCTTGTAAGTTAAAACGCATTTCAGTTCACATGTATCACCGCTCACACAGATCTAAAAGATGGACCGGATATTACGGTAGAACTTCGTACCCCATTGGTTGGATTTGGACGAGAGACATCCTTTTAAAGCCCTTCACTCGATTACCCTGAAGGAATTTTTTGTTACGCTTGATTGATCTTTGCCATTCTTGCTTAGATATGTCATTTTTTGTTCAATTTTCACCGACCAATTGGGGTTGGAGGCGAACGGCTACAGTGCCGGCGAGCCAAATCTGGCACCGACAGCCATCGGCCGAGGTCAGGCAACCCCCGGCGAGGGTCGCGCGACCTCAGGTGGCCTTTGCCGGGATAGCACGACCCCAGGCGACAAAATTTAATACAGAAAAAGTTACCAGATTCTCGTGATACACTGACTTTCTTGCTCGCTGGCTAAAACGTCTCCTCCTATAATAGAAAAGAGCATCGACTCTCGAGGACAAACAAGGAGGACAAACTGATCATTTCAATACGAATTGCCCGTCCTTCATTTATCATGTAAGTTTCCCACTGGGCCAATCAAATTGGCAGCAATGTGCGAGCCATTGTCCAAGACAGAAACAAAAGACGCGCGATCTGCTCACAGTAAAGAGTAGAGCGGCAGCCCTGGAACTACATACGGGTGATCAAGAGAGGGACAGAGATGGAAGCCTCCTCACCCATTACTGGGTGGAAGAGATCCAATTCCCCATACCGCTCCAAAACCCGCATTCGGCAATCTTCCGCGGCCATCAGACCGGTAGCGAATGCGCCGTGCAGGGATCCTTGGTAGCTCGAACTTGTTGCCTCTCCAGCAAAGAAAAGGTTATCCACCGGAATCCTTAGCTTTTCAAAGAGATCTTGGGGCTTCCCCACTACACCACAGCTATATGACCCAAGTGAGTTAATGTCTGTACCCCAATGAGACACGACATACCGAATCTGCACCATTCAAACATACTTGTTAGAATCCTCGAACAACCAGATATGCATTGCTGCCCCAACAATGGGCCAACCTTAAACGATTGAAAGAAGATTGGAGGGGAGAAAGAAAGGCTATCGTGAAAAATTGAAGAGAATATAGCTTCAGTTTTAAAAGACAACATAAGGGCTGCAGAAGATACCGGGGAAGAAGCATCGGGAAGGATCTTCTTTAGTTGCATGAAAGCAAAATTAGCAGCTGCTTCATCAGACATCTGCTCGATGTCTTTAGCCAGCTGCCCACATGGCATATAAACAAGAACAGAATGACCCGTTGCCCTGTGAAGATTTAGAAAGTAGCTGCAGCTAGAAGATGAATCAGCAACCACTCCCAGAAATTCCACATTGGGCCAAAACACCTTTTCAAAATGCAACACGATCTTGTTCTCAATCCCGACACCGATATCCGCAATTGCTGCTTCCTTCCAATCAGGTAGCTTAGGCTCAAACCTAATGCTTTGTGATTTCAGCACACCAAGAGGCACAGTGATAATTGCAGCATCCGCGGCGAACGTTCTCCCGTCTTCTACAGTTACCTTCACTCCATTGTAACGCCTCACAATGTTGGTAACTCTACGATACGAATCAATAATTAAAAGGGTGAGAATGTTACAACGGACACCTAATCTCAAAATCTAGCTTTTCAGGACAAATATAGACCTATGGCCCAAGCGGACATCGAGACCTTTAGCAAGGGTGTTTATAACAGGGAGATAACCCCTAACCATCAATCCATGTCCACCAGGCAGCAATTCTTCCTGTTGCAGTATTACAGCATACCACGTGTCAACAAATGTAATCACAATTACAATATGGCATACACAGTCTAAAACCAAACTGATAAACCCTTCCAAACAGCTCATCATGTAGCAACAGCAACACAAGCAATCAATTAATCAGCTAGACAGTAACTTAACCTCAGCCCAGCAGTTCAGCGAGATGTTATCAGCATCTGCAGCAAACCAGCCTTCCATTCTGCAGAGATACCACTGTAGTACCTTGAAGTGAAGCCCTTCCAACCTGTAAGCCATGTTACAAATCAAATAAACGTCAAGAAACAAAATCGAAACAGCACTATTAAAGGATTCTGCGTCAAACCTTAACTCTGGCCTCCGTTCAAAAATTAGTGAGAAAGCCCGTCGTAAGGACATGTCTTCACTGCACTCTTGCCTTACTTTGTTCGCCTGCAGTCAATTAAAAGTAAACGAGGAAATAAAGAAACGGCACAATATCGGTTATGGGCCTGATCTTCAAATTTCACTAACTTATCAGGCATACATTTTTGCCGAACTTGCAAGGGATAAATTGCAACCTATTATGGATAATGCGAAACAAAATCCTTAAGAAGCTATACCTCTTCCATGATATTCTCAACTGTTTTGCCAACTTCAGCGACCAATTCTTGAGGAACTCGCTTGCCATCCAGGTCAAAGAACGCACAACTGCAAGAAGTACAAGGTCTGGTCAATAAATGATTTCTCGTAAGGTAATATAGTAAATTCAACATTTGCAAAACGAAGCACTTAAACTTGACTGAACAAAAACATGTCAATGACTGATGGAAAATTAATATATTAAAACACAAACTGCCATTAGCGTAATTCTAGGCCCATAGCTGACAAAAACTACTTCGTATAATCATTACTTTGCCATACGAACGTAACATGAGGGGAATTCCTATCCAGCGCAAACATAACTATAGAGCAGCTGCAAACAGAAGATTCAAATGCCTAAATTCCACAACTGCGATATAAGAAGCTAAGATTAAATTAAAGATTCTGAAATCAATCAGCATTAGAAAGCTTCCTCTAAACAGGATATTAAAACTTACACAAGAAATTTATGCTATTTGGAAACACTTCACGCATGTTAAGAAAGGGACCGATAAATGAAAAGATGTAAAAAGCAAAAGAGCACAAACCAACACAAAAGATTAGCACACTGTCAACGGATGTACCTTTCCAAGTCATGGTCATACAAGACAGAGTTATCACCGCTGGTTCGGTACAGAGGTAATCCCAATCTCCCAATCAAAGGGGCCAAAGGATTCTCTTCGCACACTCCATGCAACCTGAAAGATCAAGATGACATCAGGCTCATCATACCCTCATGTTATACTTGAGCGAGAAGCACAAACATTTTACCATGAGGCCCCAAGATCCACAGGAAAACCGCAAGAATAGTCAGTATGAATTCGACCACCAAGTCTGGCACGTGACTCCAGCAAAAGGACCTAATCAAAAAGAGAACTCAGTTCAGACGGGAAGAAAGACTTACCGTCAAAATCCATACATCTAAAATTAGTTCCTTTCAAAAAACTACAGGAGGGGGTGGACTAGAAAAGATTATCAACAAGCAAACACCGAGGGAGCTTGTAAAGTTTATGGGAAAGTCGTTGAGTGAAACAGAAAAAAGAAAATGCTTCCTCAAAGTCAAAGTTCACAGACTAAAGCGGGATCTTTTATTCCCTTCCGTATGAATTCCCTGGCGGCAAATGCTATCAAGACCAGAGGACTCATGAGGCCAAACCATAAGCTGCCTTAGAAATGAAATGCTTCTTGTCTGGACCTTGGAAAAGGAGACTTGACTAAAATAAGAACCAGAAATTATGCGTTATTGCACCACTTGCGAAACAGTCGCATATCATAATCAAGTCTATCGCAATAGTCTCGACATGCTTGTAATCAGAAAAGTTAACGATCAAGCAGTGACATAACTAGTGACAAGGCATGGAGATACTTCTGGTAGATGCATAAGAAGGAATTGGCAAGAGCAGATCAAATTGTCTAACATGTGGATGTGGAAGACATACACTTTACAATATCTGAACAAAGGTACGCAGCTCTAGGCACCAAAAGTGGTGTAGCTTCTTTGAACAAAGTTTACCAGAATGGGACATGACTACTGTCTGACAAGGTAATAAGAAACTGGTAATAACAATGGTCCATAAATCCCTAATCGATGAAACATGCATATCAGGAACCCAGTTGTGCTAGACCTTTCAAGTACTCATTTCTTTCCAATTCTGAAATTCTTATATAACAGTTCATCACCGACTTATTAAATATGTGAAATTATGTGTCATCAAAAGCTACACTGTGTACAACAGATGGAAGAACTAGTCAACAAGTGCATTGTAGAATAACTTCAGAAGAACCTATTCGGCCATAATTACAAACTAACCGGACACAAGCAAATGATGAGACAAGTTTGCAATGCCATTTTGATGTTATTTATATTACATAATAAACATGGTACATGTATCAACAATATTTAAGCCCATATTTAAGATCACTGATCCAAATTTTAATTTCATAAACCTACAAACTCCCTCTTTAGGCTTCGATATTGGGCATGATTGGCAAAGTATCAGGAAACATAGTAATATTTCACCTGGAGAGAGAGAGAGAGAGAGAGAGAGAGAGAGAGAGAGAGAGAGAGAGAGAGAGAGAGACTCTTCCGTGTTCAGAATCCTAGGCAGATCTAGAAATACACTCCGATAGTATTCTCATCTCTCGTTACCTGAAATGAGGCGTCATGAAGGGCACGAGCGGCGGCTAGTCCAGCAATGCCACCTCCTATTACAATAACTGATGCTGACCTTGCCTGTCGTCCATTTGTACTAGATGAATAGCACAAAGCTACATAACAACATGTTGAAATCCTATTAGGAATCTGGGTGAATAGTCCCCAATCTAGATAATTTGTCCAGATTAGAAGTTAACACGTGAAAGCACATAATACAGTAAAAACCCATCTCGACGACATCCTCTCAAAATGGTGGTTGATCTTCAAACAATTATACAGAACGAAAGAAAGCAAATATATAACATGACATATTCGCATATGACGTTACAAATTTCAACTATTTATCAGTACAATACCCCGCAAATAATTTAAAAATAAAAATAAAAAAATCAGTAGCGGATGTTTTCTAAGAACTCTGCTAAGAAAAAGTAAATAAAAGAAAGCGAAAAAAAAAAAACCAGAGAGCGAAACAGTAGCTTTGACATAAAGGAGGTCCTTTTCCAGAAAATCAGCTAAAAAAAACTAAATTTAAGACTTCTTTCGTTTCGTAGAAAAAATGATATTTTTTACCGAACAATATTTTCCGGTTGATAGCTCGAGCTCGAGGCGGCAAAGGAAGAAAGAGAAGAAGAAAAGGATTAAGAAATTAAATTTTTTTAAAAATAATTAAAATTGATTTTTAAAAAATAAAAAATAAAACAAAATAAAATAAAAATAAAGGTAAAATATGTTTGTGAAAGAAGATATGGATAATGTTTTTCCAACGTGTTTTTTTCATCAGTGGAAATGATTAGTTTATTTTTCGTTAAATGAACATCAAAAAATCCCGAAAAGTTGTCTTTCATTGTACGAACGGAACCTGAATAATAATAGAAAAAGCATCCACCGACAAACCGATTAAAGAACATAAAAAGTATAACTCAACGAGGAAATCGAGTCGAAATGTCTGTAATTCAACTGGCGCCAACCTGAGCTCTTGTTTCCAGACTCCATGCCGAGACGATGTCCGAACGACAACGATCGCTTCTACTGCTGCTACTGCTGCTACCGGAGCGAATCGAACTTGACAGACTCAGCAAAGGGTCGAACAACGACCTGTTCTCGAATTCGAAGAGACAAGGAGGCGACTGAGGCGAGAAATGGAGGACGAAGACCAAGAGGCGAGCGACGAAATGGTTGCACCTCGAATTCAGGATGCCCTGCTTCCCCAACCAGCTCATGCGCTTCGGATTTGTCCCCCCGACGACGCCAAGCTCCGATCGATCCAATCGCGGACGGAGCGCAGAGAGAGATGAGCTGTGGAGGGAGGGAGAGAGATAAGCGAGCGTTTCTTGGCTCATTTCGCGTCTTCCAGTTGCCCTTTATAGAAGTTCCTCTTCGTTACGTGAAGGGAAGGTAAAGATTGGCCGATATTTGTTGCCATACATGCCCGAACGGTGGGGGAAACGTCATTAGTGCAGGCTAATTGCATGGTTCATCTGGCTAGCGATGATGCATATGGTAAGTAATCTTCGCAATAAGCGTAAGGTGACATTCAATATTTATCCATACATCGATGAGGTGATTACACGATTTGGCCGTGATTTACTATAAAATGTCGTCGACTTTTTCCGTCGATGGAGGGAAATATCGCGAGATCTGGTCATGATCTACTTCCTCGGTGGGCCCGCGAAAGATGATGATCTCCCGTGCTGATGGTCATCTAACAATGAGCTTGGGAAAGGAAGAGACGACCGGCGGAGGAGAGCGCGAGGATCGGGCAAGAGCGGTTTGCTTAGACAGCTTGGTCGAGGAAGGGAGAAAAAAATGTGAAAGTTTGACCAGATTACCCCGTTTTAATCGCCGGTAATGTTCACCGGTGAATATTGGCCGGCCGGTAAGTTTAGGCTCTTATTTGAGACTAGCGTAGCACTTCAGATCCTTATTTAAAACACGATCCACGACGGTGCATGTGGAGAGCTTCAAGCTGTTTCTTGTCACAACAACTTTGGCGACATGCATGAGAAACAGAAACGGAGGAATTACATGCGAAGTAAGATCAGAAGATCAAATGATCGCTGTACAAAGTCTTATTGAAGTAGAAAGATGTCTGCCTAGCTGGATTGATCTTCCTGTATATGTAATTATGGATGCCATCAAGGGTGGGGTGAAGAAAAACTGTCTGTGTTCTTATTTTCTTCCCCAGATTGACGTCGAACGTCAGCTTCCCTTGCTTTATTGGAACCTACATGTGCAAGAGAGGTGCTGTTGCATTTTGCGGCGCCTCCACCTTCCCCAGTGTGCACTTTGTTTTCTTTTGTGCGTTTGTTTCTTTGACAAACTCGGCCTTAAAGTTCTGCATGTCACGGCTCTTGAAAATGATATTACTCCGATTTCAGATACAGTACTGGACACCCTCCAACATTACAACGAATTTGCGCGGCCATGTCTGTCATGAGTAGTACAAACCACAAACACGGCTTCAATTCCTGTACTGTCATAAGATAACCGCTCAATGTCTTGATCCATTTTGCTGCCTAGCAAAAAGGAAAAAAGGCACATCGATGATATGCAAGGAGAACCCTGTCACTGATCCTATATAATTTGTTTGATCTTTTGCTACTACGTACTGGTGTTCAATGACGAGAAAATTGAACTAGAACAGCCAAATGAACTCTATTTTTATAGAATTATCAGCGTGCAATATGCGTGCAAGATACGTGCAATCTTCATAGATATGATATCGAAATATTTCTAACATGGTAAATTATCCTAAAAAAATTTCTAATTATCTTTAACATCTTCACAAACTCAAGGTGACCGGCTTAAGTTTGAAATAAATTCAGACTTTTCTCTTCCTCGTAGATCTCGAGACGGTAGGAAATTCGTGTCCCTACGGGTTCTGTTGAGATAGTTTAGTCCCAATTTCGGCTTTTGTCAGAATGCTACAGCAATCTATATTGAAAGACACGAGTGATTCTTGATAGTACCAGTAATATGAAGACTTGGTTGATTCTTGACAGTACCTCAAACTAAACACAGCAATCTAATTTCAAAAGATGGTCTCCATATATATCTCAAAATCAAGACCACTTCAAACACCAGTATGTAAACTTCAAACTAGATTTGGACGGGTGAGCTAGGACTAGCAAGCTATAAGTATTCCGTCAGCTTATTTCATTGGATTGATGAAGCCTCTGGAGGTTCCTATGGTCCGTCCCATGTTGTCATGCGTCTCTCAGCCTTCAGAGCCTGCATCATTTTGCAGGGACTTTTAGGTATGCTGGAACTAAGGAACACCAAAGTAGTGGGGTAGTAGAAGAAGATTATGCACACGGTACCTCTTTTTGCCAATTCGCTTGTAAGATAATAAAGAGAAGCACAACAGCCTGCATTAGACAGCCAGTCAGCATCCCAATCCAAATGCCGGGTGCACTGAGCTTGAACTTGTATCCAAGCAAGTCTCCGATTAGAAGCCCCAACACATAGTAGCTCCCAATGTTCACTATGGCAACGAGCAATTGCCATCCTGCACTAACCCTGGACAAGTATTCGTGGTTCGATCAAATGCTTGATCAAGATCTACATAGACAAATCTTAGAATTGTGACATTCAGGTAATATATGTAGGCATAATGAAAGGGTACCCCAAAGAATTGGTTGGATACTATTGGCAAAGACTGCAGCCGCGAGATAGTAACCAAGCTTCTGAAGTCTCTGTCGTGACTTTTTTTTTGTCGGTAAATAACTTGGGGAACTCATTCGTTGTTGCAGCTATTGCTCCTCCTTGAAGCTCGACCCCTCCCTTGCCGCCGCCGCTGCCCAGTCCTTCACCCAGCACGTCAATTCTCGGCTCTGCTTCTCACCAGAAGCCATGCAGGGGCATCGTTGCCATGGCAAAATTTCTCCCTCTTACGCTCTTTTCCATTCATCGACAGGCAGCAACAAGAGGCGAGCGACTGGCGGAGGATGGCGGTGGGCGGCTTCAAGCGGCAGGAGGCAATGGTCGGCGGGGTGGTGGTGGTCGCATGTGGCGGGCAATAAGAGACGAGGGCAAGCAAAGATAAGAGTTTTATTTTTTCTTTTGTTTTAGAAATAGAAAAGTAAAAACATTTTACTTCTCATTTTTGTTCCAAACCTATTTCTTGACTAAAAATTTGTTTAAAAAATATAAAAATGAAATTGCGTTACCAAATGGATGTTTATACCAAACATGTTCTCACGAATAGAAAAATAGAAATATAGATAAACAGAATGGTTATCATGCATGCTCTAAGTTGCTACATGGCACAGATCCTAAACAATCGACTTGTGACATATGCGTGCAATATGCGTGCAAGATACGTGCAATTTTGAGAGATATGATATCAAAATATTTCTAACATAGTAAATTATCCTAAAAAAATTTCTAATTATCTCTAGCATCTTCACAAACTCAAGATGATCGGCTTAAGTTTGAAATAAAGTCAAACTTTTCTCCAATGTTGCCTCAAAATGCTTGAGTTTGAACTCAATAGAGGAAAAGTAGGGGAAAAAGGGACTCAACCAACTCTACATCACTCACATACCCAACAAAAGTAGAAGTCACAACATCAATTGAGAATTGTGCACCTGCTGTGAGAATAGCAGGTCCAACTATTTCCCATGTCTTCGGACTAGTACGATCGCACCGCCATGGGCAAGAAAAGCCCTAAGTTAATTAAGCATTAGGGTGATCATTGGAGGCTAATTGATTGGCAGAAGTTGCGGTGGTTAAGGTTTGCGTTCGACGGTATTTTGCTTGATTCCGGCCGATTTCTTAGCTGCTTTCATTGATCCTTGAACTTGTGTGGTTGCTCCAGCGGGGTCTCCAAAATCCATGACTTAATTTGGTCTAAGGCGGGCTGTCGGAGGAGACCCAGGTGGCTTGGTCTAAGGTGGGCTGTCAGAGGAGACCCAGGTGGTGGAAGGTGCAGTGGAAACAAGAAGCGGCTAGGCTTCGCGCGAGGAAGAAGGCATGTGAGATCCACGCGCCCCGCACTGCAGTTATGTGCAGTTAAGGGCGCATGCTGCATGAAAAATAGGGCACATGTAGGCACCTTTTGTGAATTTCCTGTTCTACCCTTGGCCGAGTGAATTTTCTGTCTTGCCCTTGCATGCAATTTGATGAATGTTCCATGCATAAAAGTAAATGTCTAGTCATCCGTATATAATTTTGCTTAATTAGAGATCAGCCACAACATCTCTAATTATCTTAAATTATATATATTAAGAGCCTTTAGATCACATATAGACAAGGGACATTAATTATAATTAATCGTGTCAATTAGAAACTTAGCCCATATTTATTTTTTGATGTTATTTGATTCATATCTTGGAACATGTTGTGCATTGGTGAAAACATGATTTTTTGTGACATAAGCATGTTTGTTTATTATGTAGTTTCATCACTGTCAATTTTTCGGATTTAATGTTCTCGAGTTAAATGGTGATAACTATAAAGTTTGGAAGGAATTAACCTTTCTTCAATTTATGCTATTCGGAAAGATGAACACCTACTCCTACCAATGCTAGCACTCCGGTTGCAATTACTCTTTATGAACAATAGGAACGGTCCAAGCCCCACAACGCCCACCCAATTAATCGATTCCTCCCACTCGAGTCCAACTTTGCTCCTTTTAAGAGTATCCAAAAATCGAAAAACATCCATTAAGTCACTTAATAGGCATGCGGTCGGTCCTACTGATAAAGGAATTGAGATGAGATCAGAGAGTTTCAGATAGGGGTGAGCGATTCCCGGTCCGGTCCAACCCAAGAATCGAGAACCGGACGGAGGACCGGTTCCGGCCAGGGACCTGGGATCGGGACTGTCTAATCTTGGGACCATGGGGGACGACCGACCATCGGTCCAATCTGTCCGGTCCGGTTCCAATTGGACCAATTGGTAAAGGCAAGAGAGAACCGAGAAGCATTTTCGAGACCAATATATGAAAGCATTTTTGGGTTGGTCCCATTGGAACCGAATAAAAATGAACTATCAAATGCTTCTTTTGTTATTTAAATATATATATTTAAAAAGTAAATAAATATATATATAAAAATTAGAAATATATATTTATCGATCCCGGTCCCGGCCTGGTTTCCCACCTTAACCAGGAACCGGCATTTGAAACTGGGCCACTTTTAGGAACCGGAATCGGACCTGATATTCCTAGAATCAGGATCAAATTGATCGGTCTGGCCCGATCGTGCTCCTGTCCCGGCCGAAGGGCCCATCTTACTCACCCCTAGTTTTAGATTTGAGGTTCGATCCTTTGAAGCACTATATGCATTTATATGGAAAAGAGGTGCGAGATAAAAAAAAATTAAAAAAAAAAGGGGAGTCACCCACCAACATCCGAGAAAATATTGGGTGAGTTTAACACTCCACGTAGGATTTGCAGAA